GCAGCCATGGCGATAGGCAATACGGGACGGCTGAGTCGCCGGACACGTTGCAGGGGCCTCTGGGCAAGCTTATCCTCCGAAAGGCTATGGACATCCCGGCAGCCAGACTCGTTGGCCAGAAGATCAGCTCTAGAGGTTTGGTCGGCATGTATATTTAGAAAGCCTCCTCCGCTCGTGGTTAGGGTGAGTGAGGTCTTACTGGTACGAGGCCGGCATGCCTCTCTGCGATGGCCGTCTACAGATGTGGCGGGAAGAGTCGCGACCTATGCCGACCACACCACCCGACCGATGAGCAGACTCAGACAAGATCCATAGATGTGCGCGCACCGTCAAAGTCTCTTGACGAGCGGCGCAAGGGGCGAAAAGTAAAAGGGCAGCAGAGGGCATCGCAGCCCACTGTAATGGAGACGCAAGTAAGGTACAGGTCACCTCCATGATTTATCGCTAGCCTAGCGCAAGTGTGGGCGGGCCCTGGCGACGAGTCCAGCGCCTGGAGGGCTCGCTGAGGGCCTGAAGCGGGCTCAACGATGGCTCAAAGAGGGGCACTCACCTGCCAGATGACGACGGTCCCTAAACCCAGACCGGGGCTCTGTGCGTGCGTGGCCAGGGTTCGTTCATGTGTCTCGATGGATTCGATTCACAGACTGAATTGGATGGTGCACTAAAAGCGTACCTACATACCTCCTGGTCGAGCGGCTAGCTGCAGTATCTATCTTAAGTACCTAGCGACTGGCATCTTGCAGCTTCGCCCTCATGCGACTCATGTGAGGGGCTGCTGCTACGGTGCGTTAGGAGGTACCTGGCGCTGGCCGGTGGCCCTGTGGACACCCCTCCGGCCGCTGCTAGTTCGGTGAACGTGAAGGTTGAGGTCAGAGCACAGGATGGCACATGACGCATGCAAGGCGAGCAGAGCGCTCCCTGCTGAATAAGAATGCCTGCACTGACTCATTCGCCATCTTCGAGATCGACCAGCGTGCAAGAGCTTCCCGTGGGCACAGTGGTATGGTATTGTGCCCGTTGATTGTCTCCCGACTACCCACAAGAGCACCCGATTAAATCTATTCAGCTACACCCACCCGAGCGAGCGGGCGGCCCACCCGGCCAACACCGACTTCTGTCTTTCCCGTATGCTGTTCGTATGTGCGTGAGTCCATTCAGCTCGCTCGCGGCGGTGAACAAACAGCCAGCCTGTGCCTGACCCATCCCCATCCTCCATCTGACCTGGTTGGGGCAAGCGGGCTTATAGCCAACCCCCATGTCTGCGATGACGCCGTCTCCTCTGGTATTGGCTGCGACATGTAGTATTAATGGATCGCCCTGGGAGAACAGAGTCTGTTGGTCTTGGTGAGGTTTGAACTTTGGTCCATTGATGGCACTTCCGGAATTTAGCCCCTCGCACATCTGAAAATCTACCTGTCAAGCCGGTGTCCTCGAACACAAGATTTTGGAACTAGGACTGATCTGCAAACAGCCATTGCATCACCCGGCAGCTGAAAGACTAATAAGGTACGATAGGCCCTGGGAAGTACATGGCATCCCGCGCACTAGGGGAGGTGTTTCGCACATTAGAGATGTCGAGATATTTCGAAGCGGGCATGTGTGTGCGCTCACCGGTGAGTATCGTCTCCATTGCCCTGATGAGGATCTGTGATCAGGGCGCTAGCAAGCATGGCCATCCGATGGATGCTATAGTCTATTGTCCATTATTTTCACGATTCACGCCCGTGATTACCCACTAACCGTATAACCCCTGGAGGGCCTGGTGCTGTACCTTAAGTACCTGGCCGTACCTTGAAGCAAGGAGGGGCCTGATCCCCAAGTACTAAGGGAGGCTCGATGTGCAACCAATGGCGAGGAGAGCTTCCCATGGTTGGGTGCCTTTCTGAATCGATCCACACCCTCACACGGGCCCTGTCCACTGGTTCACCTGCTGACTTGGTGGCGGGGCTCGAGCCTCCAGGACCAGGGCCCGAGCTACAAGGCAAGCCGGTATTCAATGTTCAATGCCTGTTATTACCTTAGCGTTGGCTGGCAGGTACCTGAGAATGGATCGAATTCCTCTCTTACCGACCCCTCGCCCAGATGCGCACACGTACATACGCACTTATGTATGTGCTGAGACCCCTGCTTGGCCGTGTCATGCCAGGAGCCTTGCCTCGCACGTGGTTCCGTGAGAGGAAAAAGCAAACATGAGTCAACGACATCGTACCAACATCGGCCGACGTCCCAGCAACTGGCGGTGCCCTCATCTGCATGCACTCTCAACCTGATACTGTGGTGGGCCGTCGCAGGCACATCCAGGGCCAAAGCGCCTTCGGATCCGCAGCATATAGACAAAGGCGGGGAGGCTAACAACTACCTATTGAATTTTCCCTCGATAAGAGAGCCAAATCCAGCCTTTGCTCTCGATCAAGGCGGCCGGGAAAAAAAGAAGGCTGGCCAACAAGCAGGGCGAATCTTGGTACCTGTCGGAGGATCCGTCAGCTGGCAGGTACGCCGGATGAAACCGATTATTGTCCAGCTGTGTCAAAAAGATCCAATATGATTCACTGCGAGTACGCCCAGGCACGCAGGTATGTAAGAAGTCCAGGTGGCACGTGGTGCCTGTCTCTCACTCTCCAACCATATGCGGTTTCACCCTGCTTGCCCTGCCCTGCTTAGGCCCCCGTCATCCATCTTTCCGACTTACATGCCAGAGCTACCGTATATCCTTCCGAGCTCCATAAGTATTATCAATCTGGCTCAATGTAGCACTTGGAGAGGCTCATACGCTTGTGTATGCGCAGTGTCCACTGGTGAGGCGCAACATTGAGCACAAACCGGCATATGACAGTACCTGTAAAAGAAAAGAAAAAAAGACCTTCTGTCTGTTTGTGCCGTCTATGCACATGTAACTCTTACGGCATTGAAACATGTCCCTGTGCGCTCATTCTGATGGTCAGATGGCCTAATCTCGCCCAGATCAGAGGCGTCATCATCAGAGGGTATGCAACCAAAACTCTCTTTTCGCACTGAGAGTAGATCCAAGGGACTGGTTTGAGATGCCACACCGGAACAGATTTAGTAGACACACACTAGCGACCATGACTGCCAGTGGCGAGAGTCTGTTCCTTGCCAACCCCAAACCCAACCACCCTCCTCCTTTCAGCCTCAGCCGGCAGTACCGGAGTCGCTTTGTTGCCAGACCCGTCGGTTGATTCAAGCCACCAACACACTCGGCCTTCCCCTTAGTCCCTGGATTGCACGGTCTAGACTTAGGGGCGCTGCCAACTCGGCATCTGCCCTCTATCCCCAGGTAACGTAGTGATGTCCGTGGCTGATGAGAAACTCGGGGCTGCCCGAAAGTACTCGGGGATCATTGAGGCCAGTCGTTTTGTTGACTTTGCTCCCTCTCAGGGCTAAACGGTGTACGCGCAAGCCATCCGCAGAGTACATCTAATAGTACAAGTTGTAGCCCTACCCTCTGGGTTGTCGTCGGCCTACCTAATGACATGAAAGTCGCAGCATGCCAAAATCGCCACTTTAGAAAATCAGATCCAGCATGAGCCTCCCAGTGCGCATATCCTGTGGGTAGTGTGTGTACATGGATGGACATTGTACAAATCGAATTGCGCTCCCAGGGCGGCCCCGTGCTCACTTACATGCGTCGCCTTGAGTGCCAACATTAGACTCTTACCAGGGAGATTCAGATGTAGTCCTCCCCCAGGCCAGTTACACGCGCCTGGGACCAATCCCTCGGGCCATGCTAGCAAGGATATACACATGTGGCAGTGGCCACGAACAATGCACATCACTGCGGACGCGCTTGTGCTTGCGGAAGGGGGAGTGACACCATGAAGCCCATCACGACTGCTTCATTTAGCATCCTCCACATCTCAACTCGAGCGCCCACTCCTACTCCCTCCCACTCACGCACACTTGCTTCATGTCTACACTCTGCTCGCAATGCAGCATCATCCCGACGCGGCCTCGAAGGCTGCCTCGACGGCCCCTCACCGCCATTTCTGCCCACCCATCTCCCTCCGGCCTGGATGCAAGAGCCGACCGGTTTGGCGAATGACTTACATGTGGCCGGCAGGACTCCCTTCCAATCCCATCAGCTCATGGTGGTGATTTTGGGCAACCCGACCTTCTTCTCCGTCACACTCTCTTTAGCCAAAACATCCCTTCGAGCAGGGGACCCGAAGGGAGACCCTCCCCGGAAGATCGAGCTGGCCCCCAGGTTACATCGTCGTACTCCGGGTGCCCCCCTCTCTAGTGTCCCCCTGTCAAAACAGACCTGCCAGATCCTCGTCCAGATTCGGCGCCCTGCAGCGCCCGGTGCCCCATTGGAGGGAGGGATGGAGGGGGAGCTGTCGCCCTGCTGCAGGGAAGGGTGGGTGAGGGGCAAAGCAGTCAACTTCGAACGTTGACACAACTCGGAGAAGGAGGGGGTGGTAGTTGGAGCTGCGTCGCATGTTTCACATGGGGCCTTGGCGAGCGGAGTGTTTCCCGTGCGTGAGGAGGACAATGTCATGTCCATGCAGGCAGAGCACATGTGCCTAGACAGTGGACGGCTCCCAAGCCAAGGTTGATTTGGTTTTCTTGGGGTTGGCCGAGGGGGGAGTGACGGCCGAGCCACGGTTGGTATTAAAAGCTCAAGCATTCGCTGACCTGGTCTGGCTTGTGTCATATCCGCTCAACTCATGCTCGCTCGTGAACCCGCGGATCAGGGTTTTGGTCATATCACACTGAAGAGGGGCGAGACGGTGTGGGACTTGTTCTGATCATCTTGCCTCTTCCTGAAAACTATACTACGTTGTTAGTAGTATGATGCATACGATCATGCATATCTCTCCTATTGTTGCTGAAAACTTAACGTAGTCAAGCGAGCAACTATACGATATTCATTCACTGGTTCTGCAGTTGCTCACTGATACCACCTCGGTGATTGTATATCAGGCACCCTTTGGTCGAGGGAGTAGCATGACGGGCAGAGGCAGGGGCGGAAACGCCAAGCCATGCTGAGCTGGCTTGGGCATCCCGATAAAAGTGATCAGCTGCAAGCTGCAAGCTGCATCGCTATGCTCATGCAATCTACCTCCCCACTGATTCGACGACGCCTCTGTATGCTCTATCGTGCTATCAGCCGCACAGCTCACTTTGCTCGCTGGCCTAGCCCTCCAGATAAGGATAGAGTCAACTACTGGGAAAGGTGAGTGAGTATGCCAGCAATAGTCAGGAGATTGATGCCGCTCGCGGCCCGAAGCGTCTACCTGGTCTCCGGTAACATGCCTAGCCTACCTTGGCAATCGGATCGGCCAGTTCTTGTATCCGCAGTCACCCCCATAATCGAGGACCGGGAGGTCAAGGTCTAGTCGGGTAAGTTGTTCCAGTTGACCCTAGCAAGGACGAGTCTAGCTAGAGCCACATACTCGAACGGGATGTAAGGTAGAGAACTTATCGCCAAAGAAAATGGGAACAACAAATCCGCCCATCACGATAGAGGTAGGCTCTTGGAAAGGTGAACTGAGATCTGAAATGACTCAAAACACTTCCTTTATGACGCAAAAGTATTAGATAGCTAATATCTGTTTCATGTCCCAACGAAGATAACGTCATTCCAAATCCTCCATGTCTCTTCCTGCTGCATGATTCTCCTTTATCTGACACCGGTGTGAACTATTCGTAAGACCGACGCGTAGACGAGATGGAAATTGAGGTATAGATCTTCCAACAGTAACACCCGCCTAAGTATTTCTCGCGGGATTCCTACCTCTCCTGAACTTGCATGTTTTTTTGTGATTGTAAGATGCCACGACCGAATTCAAGACGAACTCTCTCTCTCTTTTTAACTGTATATTCAAGATTACTTTCTGTCTTGTTTGATTGTATTCCACGGCCTCAATGCCCTTCTAGTGCTCGAAGGAATGACCTGCTCTCGTTTCCTTGGACGACCTTGGCCAGAGGGATCGTGTACGCGCCGGGCTGCGAGCTCTGGATGTGCTGGATGTACGACCTCGCCACGTTGAGCCAGCTCGCCCTCTCCGCTCGGCTGGCGCCCTGGCCCTCCCAGACCCAGATTGCCGACCCGGCATCGTCGACCAGGAAGACGTCGTTGCCGTCCAAGTCGTCCGCCGACAGGGAGGGGCCCTGCTTGACAACCTCAAAGGAGAGGGCGCCCGAGGCGTCGCTGAGGCGGAAGAGCTTCTTGTCCTGGCCTGCTGCTGACGGCGGCGACCTGCGGGAGACGGGGCGGGAGTGTCTCAGGCCAGCTTTAGGTGCCTGGTCGTCGTCGCTGCCGAGCAGGCTGAGGACGCGGCTGGCCCTGGACTCGGTCTGGGAGACGACCTCGACGTCGGCGTGTTTGGCCTGGGTCATGTCGTGGGCGACCTGGGACGCCTTGGCCTTCTCGAAGGGGCTGGAGTCCTTTCCCTGCCAGACCCAGATCTTGTCGCCCGCGTCGAGGACGAAGACGTCGCCGTCGTCGAGGCTGCGCCAGGTGGGCTCCACCTCGTGGACAATGAGGCCGTCGGCGCCGCCGGAGGGGTTGCTGAACACGCGGAGGAGGGTCCTAGTCTCTGCTTTCTTGGATTCTTCCTCGTCCTCCTCGACGTGCCGGAAGCCGGTGCTGACGCCCCCGGAGAGGATGGAGATGCGGGGGAACAGGGAGAGGAAGTCATCCGAGGGCGAGCCCTGGAGCTCGCGGTGCTGGGTGGCAGAGCCGTGGAGGAACTCGTCCAGCTCGACGGTCTTGTAGGCGGCGGTGCCGGCCTCGTCCTGTGTGGTGTGGGCGCCGAGCCAGAAGAAGATGTCGTGGACGAGCTTCTCCTGGGTGCTGCCGACCTTGACGGAGTGCAGGACGATGTAGCTGTCGCCCGAGTGGAACCTGCCGTGCTTCTCCCGGGGCCAGGGGACGACCTGGAAGTCCTCGATGCGCCAGACGTAGAGGCCCGGGGACCGGCCGACCTGGCCGTCGTTCCAGGCCGGCTCGGTGGCGGCCGAGTTGTACTTGACGCGGTGGTCGATGTCGGAGCCGATGAGCTCGACGTTGCTGTCCTCGATGTCGTACTCTTTGAGGTGGACTAGGCCTGCGTTTGGAGCCATTGGTGCGGGAGGGTGCCTTGGTTGAGGAATTGAGGGGTGTAGATGATAGGGGATTGTATTGTAGCGTTCGCTTGAGATATTCTATGCCAGAATGAGTTGCGCTCAAACCAGTTCACTGTGAGGGAGGTGATCATCGAGGCTTACGCCATGCCGCAGCTTGGGTGGGGCGAATGGCAGCACCTCAAACAATGGCTGTCGTGTTAGTCGGGAGCCAGTTACAAGACTCGGTGAATGGCTGATACGCGAAAGACCCCTGGGCAATCAATTCATCCCTTCACACGTAAACCGAACAGGGGAAAGAGAAGATATGATCTGTTTGATCGATGAATGCGGGGTTCATGATTCATTTCTCGTGCATCAGTATTAGATATCTCATGTCATCTACCAATGCTATTGACGACGCTTGCCACCATGACAGCGACCTCCCGGTCCAGGTTCACCTGTGTTTTCTCCTTGTCCTTGATTGTAGAGAGAGCGGGCGGCGTCAGGCAGCCCTTGATGACCGCATGCCGGATGTGCTCGCCTAGATTAACCTTGTTGCTCTTCAGGTTCCTAGCCACCACACCGCCACGGTTCATAATTTCTTGAACCCGCCCGCTTAAGCTGCTCGCCATTGTCCGCCAGTAGTAGGAGGGTATCGAGCCTGTCTCAAGATGAGAGAGCAAGGACTGGAGGAGAGATGGCTGTTTCGACTCCAAGGTCTTGGGTAGTAGGGGGTGGGCGGGTGCCTTGGTTGCCTCGAGGATGATCTCGAGCGCTACAATGTTCTGGCACTTGGCGGAGACCTCGACCAGGGACTTTTCCAAGGTGGGGAGCTGCCCTAGCGACCTTGCCAGAGTCGCCGTGCCCGTCTGCAGGGCGAGGCGGATGTAGGCCTCGAGCGCCTGGAGGAGGAAGCGCGGCTTCCACTTTTCAAGGTCAATACCGGCGGTAGGGGAGAGCAGATACAGCGTGATCATGGCGCTGACCATGCGCGAGCGGGCTTCGTCGCCCTGGGCAAAGGTCATGGAGGCGGGCATGGAGAACTCGCGAATCGTCCGCTCGGCCGACTCGCGGACATTGCGCTCGGCGGGGGCAATGACCGTGTCTTGCAAGCTGCGGATCGCATCCACACGGGACAGTCCGTGGCCTTCTTCGCCGGGAGCCTTCTTGTCCAGGACCTCTCTAAGCTGGAGAATGGTGTGGGAGCATCGCACCATTGCTGTATAGTCGGCGTCCTTGCCGGATCTTCCCAGCTCCGAGTATTGAACCTCGAGCTGCCTGCCGAGCTGGAGGCACCTACCCACGGCCCTCCCTAGTCGGAGGGTCTCCCAGAGTCGAAGGGCCACCTGGCGCACCTCATCGGCCTCGGCATGCTTGTCAATGACTTCCTTCTCGAGCTGCCTGTAGCTGTCATTAAGGCTCTTGATTTGATTGTCGAGCTCGGAGAGGATCCGGCGACTGGAATTGGTCTGTTCCTGTGTGTATTTCAACAGAGGGACGGCCGACCGCGAGGTGAGGAGGTCGATGCGGGAGTCGACCTCTTGTGCATCGAAGAGGACTCTGGACAGCGGTGTGGACAGATCGAGGGGAGAATCGTTGGGATTGTTGGTCGAGACGACTAGGGTATTCGCAAACGCCGCAGCATTGAAGTCGGGCGCAATGAAGGTCTCATAGTCGATGTAGGACGACGACTCCTCGTCCTGGTGGTCCGCCATGGTGTCGCGGCCGTGTGAAGAGCTATCTCGAGCAGGCGATTTAATTTAGGCCACGCACCAGATGCCCACCTGCAATTGCACCCTGCATCGCGGGACCGGGATTTAGCGGCATGTAGGGTAGGTCGACCGGACGCGGTACACGGTGCTACCTCGCCTTTCTCGCTTTAGTGGCGACTAGGCGAGCGAGAAAACGGGCCAACAGCGGCGTTGCTGGAATTGCGGCTCTACGATTGGCTGCGAACCCCGGGTCCCACTGAAGGCATTGGAGGTCACTGCCAAATGCCAATGCGCCGGATGCGCGATTTGGGAGCGATAATTTGCACTAATATCTCGTCGCCCCAGAATTCGGGCCACACACAGCCAATCAAGACGGCAATGGATCAGTCTGTGCCGCTACGTCAGAGGAAATCTCCCCAGCAATGGGCGACCGGCATGACTTGCAGGCAGACACTCCAGACCCTCTTCACGGAAATCCCGGATGTTTTCTGGCCTGGGATTGCGCTTCTGAAAGCCGATGTCCAGATAATAAACCGCAGCCCTCAGCTCGGTTCCCACCCTCTTCTTTCCTCTGCAACACAGTTTCCCTCTTGTCAAGTGTCTGCAGGGAAATCTGGGTTCCGTTCGCCATCAGCATTGGCTTTTGTTTTGCTGGACTTCTTGTGGCTTCTTCAGCCTGCTCGTCGCAACCGATCGAGAGCATTCGCCAATGTTTTCTCGAGGTCCCCAAGAGTTAATCGAGTCGACTTAAGCCCTTCGACGTCTCGTTTTCGCGGCAGATCCCCATATCGTATACATTCGGTACAGCGACTGGCTTGAAACGCCCTCCGACAGAAATCCATCAAAAACAAATCGTCTATCCATCATGGCGGCGTTTCTATTTGGACGATCAACCGATCTCCCCTGGCCCCAGGGTGACAGCGGCAACAGCTCCGACACGATCCTCAGCGGTGTTCATTTCAACCTCTCGACCCTTCAATTCTTCAACTATACGCTTTACGGCAATGAAACGCTCTCCAATGGCTCCAGCTGTTATATGAATACCCCAACACTCATCGCCGATTATCTCTACGAAAACGGTTCCTTCGTCAATTCGACGTCATGTTACAAGGCTATTGATCCGATCGGGACACGCGGAATCACGGGTATCGCAATGTGCGCTGCTTTTGGTGTCGCTCTCGTTCTCTCCCTTACGACTCTGGCTAAGCATGGCAAACTGTATATTCCCAAGGACTCAAGGTTTTATCCTATTGGCAGGAGATGGCAATGGTACTGGGCCTTCTTCGTATGCGGCTGCGCTTTTGCTGGTCTCATTCTCAATGTCGACGTGGACCGCTACCGTGTTCAGGAATTGCCCATCATCGTCACCACCTTCTTCTACTACCTGATGTCCCTTGGAACTGTCTGTGTGGTCTGGGAAGCTGTTCGTCACTGGGGAAGTTGGTTGGAGCGGCAATACGTGGATCCCAACCCATTCATTCTCCCTGATGACGACCGACGCTCCAAAATCGAGTTTTACCTGCCGCTCTGGTTTTACTTGATTGCCTGGATGGTATGTTCCCGATGCCTCTTCTCTG